CCCAGTCTGATGAACTGTGTCATCTCCATTTGATGGCGTAGACTGTCCCTGCTTCAGGTTGGGAGATAAACACCCTTTCTGACGGACGGACTCTCTTTATTCTCACTGTGATGCCCCCCTTTCTGGGAACTCCTGGTCTGAAGAAGGAGGTAGGACCCCACTCTCACTCTACACCTCCAATCTGATGGGGGAGGGAACACCATCCATAGCCCATTTCCTTCATATGGTCCTGGGGCCCAGCTATCTGTGCCAAAAGGGATGCTCCCCCCTCAGACTCTGTCCCCTCTTTTAAAAACCTTCATCCTGGGGTTCCCATTATGTCTGATGAGAGAGAAGCTACAGCACCCCTCTGGGAGTCTTCAGTCTGAAGGAGGAGGCAGATCTATACCTAATCTAGGCTCTCCATTCGACAGAGGAGGACAGGGCCCCATTTGGGGACACCCCCATCAGAGAGACGAGACAAAGCCTCTCCCTTCCCTCTGATGCGCGAGGCCTATCCATCCTTAGTCGACTCCTCCTTCAGTCTGGTGGAGGAGGCAGAGCCCCCTTCTGTAAAGGAGCGTCCCGCCCACCCCTGCTTCCCACACTCACGGGCCACCTGTAGCTCCACCTCCAGCGTCTCAGTCTTGCCCTGCAGGGTGACCGTCTTCAGCGTGTAGCGCCCCGCGTCGGTGAGGTTCAGCTTCTGCACCAGCAGCGAGCAGTTGGCAAAGCCCACCTCGCGGCCCGTGTGCGCGGGGCCCGCGATCCAGTTCCCGGAGGGCAGCTGGCTGAGCAGCCGGTTGGGCTCGGAGGCGGGCCCGCGGTACCAGGCGTAGACCAGCAGGTCCTTGGGGTAGCCTTGCACAGTCAGGGTCACGTCCTGGCCCTCCGTGGGCTTGGTGGGTACTGGCACGATGGTCATGGCAACCGCAGCCGCTGGGGAGAGAGGGGGGCCGCGGGCAGGCGTGGGTCAACCTGGGACACAGCGCCCCTGCGGCCGACACATCTGTGCCACCCGCCGCCGGCTGGCGCTCCGCTATGCGGGCCGGGCCCCGGGCGCTGGAGAGGGAGACAGAGGAAGGGGCTGACTTGTGTGGCCCGCGGAAGTGACTCTGGTGTCAACAGTGACGGTGGGGGAGCTGCGTCTCCCCCAACAGACTGGGAATGCCTAGCCTTTAGTGGGCTGTGTCTCTCATTCAACTATAAAGCCCCCCGCGGGGTGGGGGTGGGGGTAGGGGTCATGTCTCCTCCATCAGATTAGAAACTGTCCAAATGTCTGGACCATGTGTCTCCCCTGCCAGATGGGAAATTCCGTGATAGGTGGGGTGTTCCTGTCTCCCCCATCAGATTATATAAATCCTCAGATTCCGAACTGCCTCTCCCTTCAGACTGTAAACCCTCAGAATAGGGGGGCCGTGTGTCTCCACCATCAGATTGTAAATCCTTGGAATATGAGGGTCCTGTCTGTCTCCTTCAGATTGTAAATTCTCAGACTGGGGGTTGGGGGGCTGTGTCTCCGCCATCAGATAGTTTATTCCTCAGGATACGGGGTCCGTGTCTCCCGCTCATGTTGTAAATTCTCAGAAGAGGGGGTTCGTGTCTCCCACCTCAGATTTTATATTCTCAATATGAAGGCCATGTCTCCCGCCTCAGATGGTAAATCCTCAGAAGAAGAGGACCGTGTCTCCCCCATCAGATCGCAAAACCTCAAAATACAGGGGTCCTGTTCTGTTTGTCTTCATAATGTAAACTATCTGCATGGTGGTGGTGGGGTGTCTGTGTCTCCCCCATCAGATGATAACGCCTCAGAATACGGGGTCCCCTTTTTATCTTCATCATGTCATTTCTCAGCATAAGAGGCACTGTCTCCACCCTCATGTACATTCTCAGAAGAAGGGGTTCTTGTGTCTCCCATCTGACTGCAAATCCTTAGAATATGGGGCTCGTGTCTTCCCCATGTAAGTTCTCAGAATATGGGAGCCCTGTCTCTCCCTTCAGAATGTAAATTCTCAGAATGCGGGGGCTGCGTCTCCCCCACTCAGACCGTTGGAGTTGTGTCCCCCAGGCCATGCTGCTTCTGTTGAACTGGAAGACCCCAGAAGGTGGGGACTATTAGCTCCACTGAGATGGAAAGTTGGCATGCGAGGCTGTGTCTCCTCCATCAGATTAGGGAGTCCTACCAAGTGGGGGGCCAGGGTCCTCCTCTGTCAGATTGGGAACTTCCAGATTATTAGACTGGCTCTCTCCTATTAGACTATGGGGGACCCCAGAAGGTGAGGAGGGCAAGTCGATCCCATCAGACGGAGAATTCCTAGAGAGTGGGGGCTTGAACTCCCCCATCAGATTGGGAGTACTCTCAAGATGGGAACCCCAGAGGGGTCTTTTCCGCCCCCATTCGGCGAGGAATTCCCCTCAAGACCATGGGTCCGCATCAGAATGGACAATTTTCCCCACAGGTAGACTGAGCCTCCTCCATCTGACCCGAAGCTCGCTGAGGGCGGGTCTCGCTGGAAAGCCCATGGATGAGGTGGAGCTATCTACCTTGTTTCAGAAGCACCCCCTAGCGGATGTGTGTGTGTGTGTGTGTGTGTGTGTGTGTGTGTGTGTGTGTGTGTCTCCTCCATCAGAGCAGCCCCTCCTCCAAGAAGCGGGAGGCTGGTATCTCCCTTTCCTCTGTCTCGTCCCCAGCACCAATCTCAGGAGGCCCTTTGCTCCCACCCGTGCACATACCTGCACACCTTCCCCCCATCCTGGCCTGTCCAGGGGGAGGGCCTGTGGTCATCTGTCCACCCTTGGGGGTGAGGGAAGTGGGAGGTCCACTTACCTCTGGGAACGTCTTGTCTGCTGTGCGTGAAAGAGGATCCACCCTTTGGATGAGACCCAGCCTGTGAGTGGGTGGGAGGGAGGAGGGAGAGGGGCGTGCCCACTGTCCTGAGGGCAGGGGGTGGTGGTGGATATTAGCTACTTGGGAAGTCACTGAGGTGGAATTAATGAGGCCCGTGTCCCCAGGGAATGAAAGCATGTCCCCCGAGGATCCCCATAGCTCAGACACCAGGGCACTTCAGGCTAGAAGCAATCAGGGTTTGCAGCCTGGGATTTTTCCATCCACCACCACGGAGCCTGGCTGGGACTGAATGAGTGGATGAGGGGGGGTGTGTGGTCGCGGGTTCACATTGGTACGCCATCACCTGGACCAGGTAGCCAGGTAACCAGGTGATCTCCTGGGCTGCGCAGTCCAGCTTTCTGCGTGGCAGCATGATGGGAAGCAGCCAGAACACCTGTATTGACAACAGGCCCCCCCTTGCCCCCCACCTTCCAAAGGGGCATCTGGCTGTTTTCCCATTCTGCTACCTGCAAGGTAGTCAAGATGACCCTCCCTCCCCCACCTAGGTCACCCCTCAAGGAAGGGATTCAGATTTGCCGTTTGGTTCCCTAGCCACCAGGTACGGGCTGCTTCTTTTCATCTCCTGCAATGCCACTTTATCACTTGTTCAAAGGATACGTTATGTGTGTCGTCTCCGCCCTGCCCCCCTCACCAGGGAGCCAACCATACCTTTCACCAGCTGTGAGTGGGATGTGGGCAGTGTGGGGGGGTCAGGCATGGGGCCACTTACCAGACAGCTTGACCACCACCGAGGCAGAGCCGGAGAGCAGGGTCTTAGAGTTCTTCACAATGCATGTGTACGTGCCCTCCTGGGCGGCGGTCATGCTGGTGATGTTCAGGTGGTCTTGGCCGTTCTTCAGGGCTCGCCCGTTGACGGCCCACAGGTACTCGGGCTCAGGGCAGGACCGGGACACACACCACAGGGTGAGGGACGTGTTGAAGTCCACTTTGAGGGTGCAGCCTGTGCGGGTGATGGAATCCTGGAGTATGGCCACACGCTCCGGGCCATCTGTGGGGCAGGAGGGAGAGAAAGGGGGGCAGTAGGGGGAGCGGGGTGGGGTGGGGGTGGGCAGCAGCGAGTACCCTGGACTCTCCACCAGAACGACTGGGCCCAAAGGTGGCAATTGGGGGAGCGCCAGCCTTTCTGACTCCCATGTCAGTCTAGCATCTTGAGACTCACTTCCCCTCTCTAGGAGGGGGACAGGGAGGGGAACCTCAGTTTTCTTTTCTGTAAAAGGAAGGGGTCAGGGCCAGACAACGAATTCTAAGGCATTTCCGACATCTATGGCTTCAAAAGCAAGCAAGCAAGCAAACAAAAAATGATTTCTCTCTCTCTCTGTTTCTTTCTGATAAGCCATACTAAGAGTCTACACTCATAGGCTGCCAGAGTTGGTGCTACTAGCTCTAGAATATTCTAGAAAGTTCTAGAAAGCCATGCGGCTAGGATTCTAGGATTTGGAGGCGTGGAGAGTTGAGAATGAGCCGGAGATCTCGAGGGTTCTCTCTCAAGCTAGCATGGGGCGGTTTTGAAATCCGGAAGGCAAGCATTATGGGGGTACGCTTTTCTACTTAGTTGGCTCTGGTATATACCTCATTGTTTCGTTTTCCTACGATTCCGCAGCACGCTGTGCGCAGCCTCCGGGGAGGACTCCGTGTTTTGGGTTGTATTTAAGTTTTTTTTAACCCCTCCCATCCTTCCCCGACTCCCTCCCGCTTGGCAGCCCTGTGACCCCTCGTCCCTGCAACCGCTGCTTAGGAACGAAGGGTGGTGAGTGGCCATCGGTTCTCAAGAAGCGATCCCTCTTCTGCATCGAACCCTGCATCTTAGACGTCGTGTAAGAGCACAGAGGAGGGGCGTTCCGAGCATCAGCCTGGGCTGGGACCCTGCTCTCCTGGGCTCCGCCCCGCTGCTCCCCCAGCCTCAGGTCTTCCCATCCATGCTTTGGGGGTCCCAGGTCTGTGTGTCTGGCAGGGCCAGAAGGACTCACAGTACACGGTCAGGTTGGCTGGCTCGCTTCGGCTGATGCTGACCGGGTTCCACACCTCACATTGGTAGGCCCCCGCCTCCTCCCTGCGGACGCCGGCTCGGGTGAGCGTCCGGCCGTCTGGGGAGAGCCCGAGGCGGGCGGTGATGGGCAGGGCCTCGCCGTTGAAGAACCAGCGGACCTCGGCGGGGCTGGGGCTGCCACACTGCAGGCGCAGCGTGTCTCGGTGTTCCACCAGTGCCATGCTGTGGTTGGCAGTCACCACAGGCTGGGCCAGGATCTCTGTGGGAGCGAGAGACAGAGGGGGAGGGGGCCCGGGCACCACCAGCTCCGAGGCTCCCCACCCGCACCCACCCCCAGGCAAGGGGCCTGGACTGACCCTGGTCTTGCCCCTGTCCCTCCACCCACCTAGCCGAGAATGGGCCAGGAGGCAATCCCGGAAACCGTCCGGGAGGAGGTGCACATTTTAAAAAGCGTTTTAGATTTTTTCTTTTTTAAAGGAGGGGGAAGAAGGGGTGTATGTTGGGTGTCTCACCATAGACCTGCACGTGTCCGTAGCCCACCTCGGTCTGAAACTGCCTGTTGAGGGTCTGCAGGATGTAGGTCCCCGAGTGGCCGGGCAGCGCGCCGTGGATATCCAGGCCACCGTCGGGGCGCACCGCCTCCCGGCCCGTATGCGCAGGGCCGGGGGTCTCATCGCCCGTGCTGACGATGTAGCTGGCCACCAGGTAGGCCAGGCTGAGCGTGGGGCCTGCGTACCAGTTATAGGCCAGCAATTCCCCGGAGAGACCTTGGACCTCCAGCGTGAGGTTGTCCCCCTCAGCCGGCTGGGCAGGCTGAGGAGTGATGGTGATCTCCCCGCCCACACGCAGGACCAGCGCTGGGGAAGACAAGGGGGAGGGTCCGGGTGGGGAGGACGCCCCGCCCATGACGTTCACTGTGCCAGGACAGTGCGAGGCGAAGCTGGTTTCCGACTCCCCACGTCGCAGTCACCGTTTATAAATAGATAACCTTTCGATTGTGGCAAAGATATATTGTTGCCTGCTGTGGGCCCTTGAGTTAATTCTGAATCTTGGCCACGTTGGCATAGTGGTTACTGGCTGGGCTGCTAACTGCAAGGTCAGCCGTTCGAAACCACCTCCCGTTTGCAAGAGACTTTCTACCCCCATAAAGAACTACAGTCTCTCAGCCCCCCAGGGGCAGTTCTACCCTGCCCTGTAGGGTTCCGCTTGATGGCAGTGAGTTTGGGTTTTAATCGAGGACACAGTAGAACTGCACATCTAGGCTGCCCATGGGTACTCAGCAGCCCGGTGGTGTAGTGGGTGACCCGGTGGGCTGCTTACCCCAAGGGCAGCAGTTTGACTCCCTTCTCAAGAGAAAGATGAAGCTTTCTACTCCTATGACGATTTACATTTTCGGAAAACCACCGGGAGCCGTTCTGGCCTGTCCCAGAGGGTTACTTGTGAGTTGGCATCAACTCCATGGCGGTCAGTTTGCTTTGTTTTCTTTTGGGGCATCTTTAAGGAGGCAGACGACCTCATCTTTCTCCCTCGGGCGCTGCTGGTGGGTTTGAACCGCTGATGCTGAGCGCTGGGACCATTGTGCCTTCAGGGTCCCAGGTAAAATAGACCAGGAGGTTTCATGGGAAAATGAGGGGAGGGAACTGAAAGAGGAAGGAATTTTCCCACTGACTTTTGAAGTCCCTTCGGATATGATTTTAAAACCTGCCATCCGACCTGTCTTTGAGCCTGGATGACAGTCACGATATTGCGTGGAACCACCACTGCCCTTTCTAGAGCTTTCCATGTCCCCTCTCAGACAGAGGCTCTGTGCCCACGAATTGACCACGGATTCGTTCTTGGAGCTTTTCTGCGTAGCTTTGGCTCACTTCAGCTCAGAGATGTCGCTGATCAGGACCACGTACCTCATGGGGGCACTGTGCACGCAAGGCCCTTAGAAGGGTGTCGGGGGCCAAAAGGAAGTGCCAAATGCCCAACAAGCCTTAGGAGCTTCGAGGATGCAGCTCCACCCAGCCTAACTCACACCTCACAAGAACTCGTCTCCTGGGCCTTTTGCTTCCACGGGGGTCCAGGTGAGAGTCACCCAGCCCCAGGAGATCAGAGCTGGCTTCTCTAGTCCAGCGAGTTTTATAGTCCCTGATGGTGTTGGCATCGTGGTTAAAACACTGCTAATCACAAGGTGAGCAGTTTGAAACCACCGGCTGCTGCTCGGGAGCCAGAGGAGACTCTCTTTGAGTCAGTATGGCAGTGATTTTTTTTGGAGGGTGCCTGCCCCTGGTCAGCAGTTCAAACCCACCAGACGCTCTGTGGCAGAAAGATAAAGAAAGCTTTCTATTCCGCCTTAAAGAGTTGTGGTTTTGCAAACCCACAGGGGCAGTTCTACCCAGGCCTAGAGGCTTGCTATGACTCAAAATCGCCTCCATGGCAGGGAGTTTGAATTCTTTTGGGGCCTGCCCCTGGGTCCTGACTCAGTCCAGTGCCTCTTCTGGCCCAACCAGGGCAGGGAGTCCATCTGTGACAAAGACAACCTGCTTCTTCCCTTTTCAACCCACAGGGCTGTGTGTGCTTGTCTGGATTGGATGTCACCGGGCCATTCTCGGGGAGGAAGCTCCTACATGCCCCGACTGGTGCCTGGAACTTTCCAGGCTGACGGAGCCGACCAGGGCTGCGGGCTTTGGTCTGGTACTTAACCCTGCAACTTCCTCGTTGGGTGGCCACCAGCCAGCTCTCTGAATAAGCCCCCGTGTTCTCCTCTGCAAAGTGGAGGGTTATGAAGGGGTCACCCTCAGAGGGTAGCTGGTCCCCTATGACAGTGTTTAGAACAGGTCCAGAAACAGCCCTGGTGGCTTAATGGCTCACACAATGGGTTGCTAACCACGAGGTCTGTAGTTCAAAACTCACCACTCTCTCCGAGGGAGAGAGGGGAGGCTCTCTGCTCCTGTAAAGATTCACAAGTCTACTCTGGTGTATAGGGTGCCCAGGATCCCGGTGAGTCGGAATGGGCTCGGTGGCCGGGAGCTGGAGTTAGGTTCTTTGTCTTTTGAGGACAGCCCTGGCACACAGTAAGCATGATCTCATGCTAGTACAGGGACCTCAGACACGAGTTAGGCCCATTTCATAGACAAAGAAACTGAGACCAAGAAGGCAATAGCCCAAAGCCTCCTCTTCGGGGAGGGGCAGAGTGGCTGCTTAGAACAGCCCCCCAGACAAGGTTTCCAGCACTGGTGCTGAAGAGCCCACTATCATCGAGTTGATTCTGACCCACAGCGACCCCCTACCGGGTTTTGAAGGCTGTCAATCTTCGAGGAAGCAGACAGCCTCATCTTTCTACCCATGAGTAGCTGGTGGGTTTGACCAGCTGACCCTCATTTGGCAGCCGAACGCCTAGCCCATGGTGCCACCAGGGCTCCACAGGCATCAGGTGGCCCTGGGGCTCTTGGCTCAAACCCCCTTTCAGAAACCTGGCCTGGCCGACTCTGTAAAATCAAGCTGCACTCCCTCCCAGCCTGCTGGGCCTCAGGCTCACAACTTCCCTTTCTATGCCTGGGGGTCTCCTCCCCACCCTGAACCAGAGGGGCTCCAGGTGCTGCCAGGGACAGTTGGGGCAGGGGGTGGGCCTCTGCCTTCTTGCTCACCACTGATGAGGAGGAGCCAGCTGCACCTGGTCGCTGCCATCTTTCAGCCCAAACCTGGGTCTGGCGTCTCTCTCCTTGTCCAGACTCGCCGAGGTCCTTCCTTCCTGGTTGGGGCTTTGGCTGCGTCTGGCTCTGGACCTGGGCAGGTTCGGTGATTTGGAACAGGGGGGAAGATCACCTGAATTTGGAGGGATCAAGTCACGTAGGATCTGGGGCCCCATTTGGGCACCAGGGCGGGTGTGGCAGGCCCGGGCCAGGGGGCACGACCCGGCCAGGCCTCTTGGGGCAGCTGCCTAACCCTCTTTGTGCCCAGGGCCCAGATTTGGTACCAGGAGAAGAACCAGGTCGGCAGGGGCTGGAGGAGGGGGGCAGGGAATGATTTGAAGGTAGTTCTTATCCATGGCCTGGCTCTGGGTATGGCATCCCTTGGGGGACAGGGGGGTCACCAAGCAATCAAACGAGCCGAGCCGGCAGTCACTGCCATGTTCCCCAGCCTCACTGCAGCAGGTGGTCTCCAAGTGTCACTTCAGAGAGTGTTGAGAAAACTCTTGTGAGATGGGGACTGTGTGAGCTCCTCCTTTGGCAGAAGGGGAAAGTGAGGCACGAGGCAGGGACTCTGACTCGCCCAGTTCCTGCAAGTGAAGAGAATTAGAACCTGGCTCCGTTTCCGAGTCCAGAGAGAGCCTGGGGGAGAGATAGCTGGAGTGCGGCTTGCTTTCTCGGGCTTCTGCTGCTTGGTGGCCACACATGTCAAGTGTGGAGCCAATCCACGTGTTCTCTCTCTCTCTCTCTCTCTCTCTCTCTCTCTCTCTCTCTCTCTCTCTCTCTCTCTCTCTCTCGGCTTTGCTTGCCCCCCAATCTGCCAAATGGGTAGATGCAGGTTTGGAGGTGCTGCCTGTGCTGGCACTTGTCCACACCAAGGAGAAGCTGCTGCGTCTCCTTTGGCCTCTGGGCCAAGTGCATGTGCCATTGGCCCATTGAGAGATTGAGAGGGAGAGAGAGCACGCAAAGTTAGGGAGCCTGAGGACAGGTAAGGGGTGCTAGGAATTTAGCCAGGGGCTGACAGAGTTGGGGTCAGATGGGTGTACATGGGCATTTAAAGTGCAGGCTCTGGAGGTAGCTTCCCACCTTGCCTCCCTCTGGGCAAGTCATGGAACCTCAGTTTCCTCATCTGTAAAATAGGGCTGATTACGCTGGGTACCACACAGCGCTGCTTTTGAGATTAGACCGTGGCCACTGAGTCCATTCCAAGCCATAGTGATCCTACTGAAGGTTTCCCAAGCTAGAAATATATAATATATAATACATATACACAAATAGATTGATTGGCATGTAGTTCATATATCATACAATTCAATCCTTCAACCATATGAAAAATAACGTATGATCGCCACCACAACTCACTTTAAAACATTGTCTTTTCTAGTCTTCATGGGGCTTAGTCAAACTATAAATCTTTAGAGAAACCTTCAGAGGCAACAAGTAGAATCATGGTTCCTCGGGGTGGGGATAAGGAGGAGCTGATGTCCAGGAGTTTGAGAAGGAAGAAAATGTTTTGAAATGGATTTGGGGAACAGTTGTACAATTACTGATCAATGTGATTGAACTATGGAATGGTATGATGTCTGATACGACGATTTGCAGAGGGGTGGGGAACGGAAGGCAGAGGCGTGGAAAAGAGAAAAAGAAACTGGGAAAGGTCCGACAAACCAATAAGTACATCATTTCAGAAGCAGACAACTCCATCTTTCTCCTGGGCAGTGGCGTGGTGGGTTTGAACCAGCAACCCTGAGGTTAGACGCCCCGCATTTAACCCACTGGGTCACCTCCCCGTGAGGGTTCTCATTGCCGTGGGGCTGATGCCGGCTCACAGCGTCCCTGTAGGACAGGGTGGAACTGCCCCTGTGGGTTTCTGAGACTGGCAGTCTTTCTGGGAGTGGAAAGGTAAACCAGAGGGCCCTGCTGACCACAGCGCCTGGCCTGGCACATGGTAGATGCTAACTTTCTGAAACCCCCGGAACGGTTAGCTCCTCTGATCTCGAACACCCTGGAGTAACAAAACGGAATTTCAGGTCCGGAAACCCACCAGGGGGGCTACTCAGCCCTCCAGGGTCTCTGGGAGTCAGGATCGACTCTCGGGAATGGCGCTGTGAGGCGGGCACCGCTACTGCCTGCACTGGACAGACCAAGAAACTGAGGCGGAGTGGGTTCTGGAAGTGGCCCCGGGGATCAGGGAGGCAGGGGGGCGGAGCCGGAGATGACACCTGGGTACCA